CATAGCACATGGAAATGCCACGGAGCCAGTCATATTTGTGTAAGTGAAAACCTGATACTTTAAAAACATTTTACCCAGATGGCTGGGCATGGTGGCTCACTCTTGTAATCCTAGCACTTCAGGAGGCTGAGGTGAGCGGACCATCCGAGGTGAGGAGTCCAAGACCAGCCTAGCCGACGTGGTGAAACTCCATCTCTACTAAAAATATAGAGATTAGCCAGGCGTGGTGGTGGGTACCTGTAATTCCAGCTACTTGGGAGGCTGAGGCAGGATGATCGCTTGAACCTGGAAGGTGGAGATTGCTAAGGCAGCACCATCGCACTCCAGCCTGAGCAACAAGAGTGAAACAACGTCTCAAAAATAAAAAATGTACCCAGATGTGGGCAGGTGCCAGCCAATTATGTCTGGGAATTCAAATTCTGCAAGACCAATTGTTTTACAAACTAGAAACAATCAACTTCTATGATGCTTTATGAGCGTTATAGAGGTGGAACTTTAAGGCCTTAATTTTTCAGGACAACTCAAACTACATCTTATGAAGCTCTTTTCAGTAAAGGTGGTGTACGAAATGTATACTATATTCTTATACACTCTTTTTTGGTGGAGGAAGGTTTTTTTTTTTTTCTTTTAGACAAGTGTGGTGGCTCAGCTGCTCATGCTGAAGTGGTGTAATGGCTTATCTCAGCTCACTGCAACCTCCCCCTCCCAGGTTTGAGCAATTCTGCCTCAGCCTTCTGAGTAGCCGAGATTACAGGAACATGCCACCATGCCCAGCTGATTTTTTATTTTTAGTAGATAGGGTTTCACCATGTTCGAGACCAGGCTGGTCTTGAATTCCTGACCTCAGGTGATGTGCCTACCTCGCCTCCCAGAGTGCTGGGATTACAGGCATGAGCTACTGTGCCCAGCCAAGGGAGATCTTTTCAATATAAGTAATTTTACAACATCCTGTCAGAACAAATAGCCAGATTTTGTTTCAAAAACAACTTGTTTCATACTTCCATTTCTAGATGTGACAGTGTAGCTTACACTAAACAAAAGCTGAACAGGAGGCATGCAACATCTACTTGAAGGCACTGAAGTGCATCTAAGGCAGCCAGGACTTGAGGGCAAAGATCCTGGGAGAAGGGATGTGCAGAGAACCCCATGTGACTATGCTGATTTTCTTAGTCATTTACCAAATTTTATGTTGTACAAGGTAAGAAAACTAAAATGCAGGAGAGCAAAACCAAAAATAGAATTTGATTTCAAAAAGGAAGGTCTCTAAAAACACTCCAGGTGCTCTCATTGTAACCCCTCAAAGGCTTCACCCCGAAAGCTGAGAGAAACCAGAAGTAGAGCTAACTAAGGAATCTGAAGCCCAGCCTTGCGTAAGCTCAGTTTTTGACTGGATTGAGGTGTCCCTGCTCTACTTTGAGAGAGGACAGGATGAATCTTCTCTTGAAGAGGATACTTTTATCCACAGTTTCTAGTTTTTCAAACAATCTCTGGCATTCCAGCAAAAATTTCTAAGCATACTAAGAAATAGCACCATGAATTAAATTACAACCTAGGATTAAGAAACTCACTCAAGGCCGGGTACGGTGGCTCACGCCTATAATCCCAGCACACTGGGAGCCTGAGGCGGGTGGATCACAAGGTCAAGAGATCGAGACCATCCTGGTCAACAAGGTGAAATCTCGTCTCTACTAAAAATACAAAAAAAATTAGCTGGGCATGGTGGTGCATGCCTGTAGTCCCAGCTACTTGGGAGACTGAGGCAGGAGAATTGCTTGAACCCAGGAGGCGGAGGTTGCGGTGAGCTGAGATTGTGCCATTGCACTCCAGTCTGGGTTACAACAGTGAAACGCCGTATCAAAAAAGAAAAAAAGAGACTCACTCAAAACTGTACAACTACATGGAACAACCTGCTCCTGAATGATGACTCGATAATAACATGAAGGCAGAAATAAAGATGTTCTTTGAAACCAATGAGAACAAAGATACAACATACCAAAATCTCTGGGACACATTTAAAGCAGTGTGTAGAGGGAAATACATAACACTAGCCCACAAAAGAAAGGAAGACCTAAAATCGACATCCCAACATCATGATTAAAAGAAGTAGAGGAGCAAGAACAAACAAAATTTCAAAAGCTAGCAGAAAAGAAGTAAGATGAGAGCAGAACTGAAGGAGATTGAGACAACCCTTCAAAAAAATCAGAATCCAGGAGTTGGTTTTTGAAAAGATCAATAGAATAGACCGTTAGCCAGTCTAATAATGAAAAAAAGAAGAATCAAATAGATGCAATAAAAAATGATAAAAGGGGTCACCATGGATCCTACAGAAATACAAAATACCATCAGAGAATACTATAAACACCTCTATGCAAATAAACCAGAAAATATAGAAGAAATGGATAAATTCCTTGAACACTTACACCCTCCCAAGACAAAACCAGGAAGAAGTCAAATCCCTGAATAGACCAATAACAAGGTCTGAAGTTGAGGCAGCAATTAATAGCCTACTAACCAAAAAAATGTCCAGGACCAGATGGGTTGACAGCCAAATTCCACCAGAGGTACAAAGAGGAGCTAGCACCATTTCTTCTGAAACTATTCCAAACAACACAAAAAGGGAATCCTTCCTAACTCATTTTATGAGACCAACATCATCCTCATACCAAAACCTGGCAGAGAAACAACTAAAAAAGAAAATTTCAGTCCAATATCCATGATGAATATTGATGCAGAAATCCTCAGTAAAATACTGGCAAACCAAATCCAACAGCACATCGAAAAGCTTATTCATCACAATCAAGTCAGCTTCATCCCTGGGATGGAAGACTGGTTCAACATAACGCAAATCAATAAACATAATCCATCACATAAACAGAAGCAAAGATAAAAACCACATGATAATAGATGCAGAGAAGTCCTTTGACAAAATTCAACAGCCTTTATGCTAAAAACTTAATAAACTAGGTATTGATGGAACATCTCTCAAGAGCTATTTATGACAACCCCACAGCCAATATCGTCCTGAATGGGCAAAACCTGGAAGCATTCCCTTTGAAAATAGGCACAAGACAAGGATGCCCTCTCTCGCCACTCCTATTCAACATAGTGTTAGAAGTCCTGGACAGGACACTCAGGCAAGAAAAAGAAATAAAGGGTATTCAATTAGGAAAAAAGGACGTCAAATTTTCTCTATTTGCAGACAACATGATTGCATATTTAGAAGTCCTCATTGTCTCAGCCCAAAATCTCCTTAAGCTGATAAGCAACTTCAGTAAAGTCTCAGGATACAAAATCAATGTGCAAAAATCACAAGCATTCCTATACACCAATAACAGACTGAGAGCCAAATCATGAGTGAACTCACATTCACAATACTACAAAGAGAATACCTAGTAATACAACTAACAAGGGATGTGAAGGACCTCTTCAAGGAAAACTACAAACCACTGCTCAAGGAAATGAGAGGACACAAACAGATGGAAAAAACATTCTATGCCCATGGTTAGGAATAATCAATATTGTGAAAATGGCCATACTGCCCAAAGTAATTGAGAGTTTCAATGCTATCCCCATCAAGCTACCATTGACTTTTTTCACAGAATTGGAAAAAAAACTACCTTAAATTTTATATTGAACCAAAAAAGAGCCCTCACAGCTAAGACAATTCAAAGCAAATCAAACAACAACAACCAACCAACCCAAACGGGAGGCATCATGCTACCTGACTACAAACTATACTATAAGGCTAGAGAAATCAAAACAGCATGGTACTGTTACCAAAACAGAGATATATACCAATAGAACAGAACAGAGGCCTCAGAAATAAGCCACACATCTACAACCATCTGATCTTTGACAAACCTGACAAAAACAAGCAATGGGGAAAGGATTCCCTATTTAATAAATGGTGTTGGGAAAACTGGCTAGCCATATGTAGAAAGCTGAAGCTGGATCCCTTCCTTACACCTTATACAAAAATTAACTCAAGATGAATTAAAGATTTAAACATAAGACCTAACACCATAAAAACCCAAGAAGAAAATTCAGGTAATACCATTCAGGACCTAGGCATAGGCAAGGATTTCATGAGTAAGACACCAAAAGCAATGGCAGCAAAAACCAAAATTGACAAATGGATCTAATTAAAGACCTTCTGCACAGCAAAATAAACTATTGTTAGAGTAAACCAGCAACCAACAGAATGGGAAAAAATGTTTGCAATCTATCCATCTAACACAGGGCTGATATCCAGAATCTACAAACAACTTAAACAAATTTATAAGCAAACAACCCCATCAAAAAGTTGTTTTTTTTTTTGGATGAAGGATATGAACAGACACTTCTCAAAAGAAGACATTTATGCAGCCAACAAACATAAGAAGAAAAGCTCATCAACACTGGTCATTAGAGAAATGCAAATCAAAACCACAATGAGATACCATCTTACACCAGTTAGAATGGCATTAAAAAATCAGGATACAACAGATGCTGGAGAGAATGTGGAGAAATAGGAACACTTTTACACGGTTGGGAGAGTAAGTTAGTTCAACCACTGTGGAAGACAAGTGTGGCAAATCCTCAAGAACCTAGAAATACCATTTGACCCAGCAACCCTCATTGCTGGGTATATACTCAAAGGATTATAAATCTTTCTATTATAAAGACACATGCACATGTATGTTCACTGTGGCACTGTTCACAATAGTAAAGACTTGGAACCAACCCAAATGCCCATCAGTGATATACTGGATAAAGAAAATGTGGCACATATACACCATGGAATACTATGTAGCCATAAAAAAGGATGAGTTCATGTCCTTTGCAGGGATATGGATGAAGCTGGAAACTATCATTCTCAGCAAACTGACGCAAGAACAGAAAACCAAACACTGCATGTTCTCACTCATAAGTGGGTGCTGAACAATGAGAACACATGGACACAGGGAGGGGAACATCACACACTGGGACCTGTCAGGGGTTTGGGGGTTAGGGGATGGATAGCAGGGGGGTGGAGACCTAGGGGAGGGGTAGCATTAGGAGAAACACCTAATGTAGATGACGAGGTGATGGATGCAGCAAATCACCATGGCACATGTGAACCTATGTAACAAACGTGCACATTCTGCACAGGTACTCCAGATCTTAAAGTATAATTTTTAAAAAGTCAAGTTGTATTTTCAGAAAAAAGTACCATGATAAAAATAGATCTGTAATAAATTCACATATTGGACTTATGTTGGACATGAATTTGGAAATAGCCAGGATTGGTAAATGTAAGAAAAAACAAGATTGAATATATCAAAGAATTGGAATCTATAAATAAAATGAGAAACCTATAATTCAGAGAATTTTATATATGAGATTACTCACAAATTAGGGTTGAAGGATTAGTGAATTTGAGGGTCACATTAAATACAAAGAGTGAAACATATATATACACACACACACATACATATATATGCACATATATATAAAATGCCTGACACAAGAACATTAGAGGCACATCAGGCATGGTACAAGTCTAACATACTAGTGTAACTGGAATCAGAATAGGATGAGGGAGAGCAAAATCCAAAAAGAATATGGCAAAAGTTAAACATATGTTTATGAACCTGAAACTACTCCTTGGTAAATATCAAAGAGAAACAAAATATGTCCTTACAGAGGCTTACATGCACATGTTCAGCAGCCATGTCATTCTTAAGAGCCCCAAAGTGGAAACAATCCAAATATTCATCAGTGGGTGAATGAATAAACAAAATGTCGGCTAGCCATAAAATGGATTTCTATTCTGTGATAAAAGGGAATGAACTACTAATACATATTACAACATAGTTGAACCTTTAAAACATGCCAAATGAGAAGTTGGACATGAGGACACATACATAATTCCATTTATATGAAATTTTCAGAAGAAAAGGCAAATCCATACAGACAGTAGCTTAATCATTTCCTGGGATTGGGAGTGAGAATAGAGTGTGACTGCAAATGAGCAAAATGGATCTTTCCGGGTGATGGAAGTGATTTAAAGTAGAATTGTGGTGATGGTTGCACTATTTTGAATATCCTAAAAACCAATGGATTGTACACTTAAAATGGGTGGATTTTAAAGTAAAAATATTTAAATAAAACTTTGTTTAAAAAGATGAAGTAAAGACACTTTGGCTAAGCATGATGGCTCATTCCTGTAATTTCAGCATTTTGGGAGACTAAAGCGAACAGATTGCTTGAGCCTAGAAGTTCAAGACCAACTGGGCAACATGGCAAAACCCTATTTCTACAAAAATGCAAAAAAAGCCGGATGTGGTGGTACTCCCCTGTAGTCCCAGCTACGTGGGAAGCTGAGTTGGGAGGACTGCTTAAGCACAGGAAGTGGAGGTTACAGTGAGCCAAGGTCAGACCACTGCACTCTAGTCTGAGCAACAGAGTGAGAGCTGGTCTCAAATAATAATAATAAAGTTATGCTAAACTTAGGCAGAATGAAAATGATCTCAGATTGAAACACAGAAATGCAAGAAAGAATAATGATCAACATGGGTAAATTTAAGTGAATATTATCACAAAAAACAGTAATAATCATGTTTTATAGGGTTTAAAATGTCTGGAAGATTAAAATGCCTGACAAGAGGGTAAAAGGAGACAAACTGAGGTAAGATATTCTAAGATCTCAGCATTGTTTTGGAAGGGACAAATGTATCACTATTACACTCTAATAAATCAAGGATGCATGTTGTAATCTCTGGGTGAACTATAAAAGAGTACTGAAAAAAAGCCAAAAGGGGAGAAAGCAAATAATAAATACTTGATTAATCCAAAAGAAGCGGAGGCCAGGCACCATGGCTCATACCTGTAATCCCCACACTTTGAGAGGCCAAGGTGGGTGAATCACCTGAGGTCAGGAGTTCAAGACCAGGCTGGCCAACATAGTCAAACCCCGTCTCCACTAAAAATACCAAAATTAGCTGGGCATGGTGGCATATGCCTATAATCCCAGCTACTCAGGAGACTGAAGCAGAATTGCTTTAACCCAGGAGGCAGAGGTTGCAGTGAGCCAAGATCATGCCACTGCACTCTAGCCTGGGTGACAAGAGTGAGATCCTGTCCCCCTCCAAAAAAAGGTATAGAAATTTAAACCCAAAAATGTGGACAGAAGGAAATAACAGTAGAAATTAATGTCATAGAAAACAAACACAATATAGAAAATCCTCAAAGAAAAAACATATTTATAATAGGAAGAAAGTTGATAAACATATAGGAATAGTGAACATAACACAAATTACTAACATCAGACTTGAAAAGGAAGACATCACTATAGACCCTATAGACACTAAACAGAAGATATGAACAATTTTATGTGAATAAATTTGAAAATGTGTATTAGACAAATTCCTAGAAAAATGTAACATGAAAATCCCTACTATAATTATAAAATTTGAATAATGAAGGCTGGGTATGGTGGCTCACGCCTATAATCCCAGCACTTTGGGAGGCCGAGGCGGGTGGATCACAAGGTCAAGAGATCGAGACCATCCTGGTCAACAAGGTGAAACCCCGTCTCTACTAAAAATACAAAAATTAGCTGGGCATGGTGGTGCGCGCCTGTAGTCCCAGCTACTCAGGAGACTCAGGCAGGAGAATTGCTTGAACCCAGAAGGCAGAGGTTGCAGTGAGCCGAGATCACGCCGTTGCACTGTAGCCTGGGTAACAACAGCGAAACTCCGTCTCAAAAAAAAAAAAAAGAAAATTTGAATATTGAAGCATGCTTCTTATCCATATACAACAGACATGTTTAGGTAGATCAAAGAAGCAGGGAGTTTGGTTCCATGACTGCCCTGAAATAATTTCTTTTCTCTGTAGCCACAAAGTGATACAGTGAAAAATCAGAAACAGAGTCTGTTCCTGCAGGTTACTGATATACAACACAGGTTGAAATCAAGGCTTCATCAGGTTTCTTAAATAACAATTAGATTATTTTGGAAGAAAGAATGCAAACTCAAAAAGTAGAATAGTGGCATCTGAAAACATTACAATGACTAAGTACCCAAAAAACCCAAAGATTATTCTTGCCAATACAAGTAGCTCCTCCCCTATCTAATGAGAATGGTTCTGATTTTCTTGAATATCTTGAAAAGTAATTTTTCTGAACTTCATTTTCAACATTTAGACAACTGAGGGTAAAACCTACTTTTATAATGCTCTATTGAAGGAAATTAAATCATAGCAATAATAGTAAAAAAATACAGTAAAAATATTCCCATAAAATACAGTACATTTTGCTGTGTTGTGTGCTATAATACCTCCTTAGCTTCCTGCAAACCATTTAACCCTTATCTATCCTCCTCACATTCTTAGCAAAGTTCCCAGGCATCTAGAAATTCATGTTTCTCGTGCTGACCTGCTGCAAGGTCACAGAGCAGATAGAAACTGAGGAATGCGTTTCTCAAAACGTTACTCTTCAAATGTAAAGTACATCACAAGACATGTCACAAGTTGATTAACTGTTCTTTGTTCTAGCTTCTGTAGCTACTGCATCATTTTAGGTGCATAAAAAGTACCCCATTTTATTTGTCCCTTGCTCAGAATTAGGAAGCGATTCTGCTAAGCCTGTGATCACGTTAAATAAAATCCTCTGCAACCCCATTGGTCTCTCCAGATCTCTGATTTCCTGCTACGTTTTCTGGCGCCTGAACAGGGACTTGAAATGGCAGGCTTACTGTCTCCTTTACCTGTGGGACCAAGGCCCCGGGCTGCAGGAGACCTGCTACCCTAGGCACTGCTGGGAGAACTTCAGCCCGGACAGGATACCGTCTCTGCCGTGCCCTAGCATCCCTCCTGGACAGCGCATCACACCTTTGGAAGGGGTTGCAGGACCATCTCCAGGACCAACATACTTCAGGAATTACAGTAAGACATTTAGGGAAAAGAAGAGCCCGCCCCAAGTGGGTGGAAGGAGAGTCTGATTGACTCAAGGGAAGTGACTACTAATCCAACCCAGAACGGCTGGGGGAACAGAGAGCACCTCACTGATTTGGATGAAACTCACATCGCCACAGGCACACTGAACAGGGGTAACTCATTAAACCAGTTTGTGGAGGAAAGTGGGAAAGGGGGAAGGAGTGTGGAAGTGTTTGAAAGAGACGGTTCTGGGAGGAGCCAACGTGGGGTGTGAAGTGGGGAGGTGCAGATCCCTTAGCATGGATTGCATGCTCCAAAGCGAGTGAGGGCTGATTTATTATGGGCTGACCGCATACCGCTGACAGGAGCGGCCCCACAGTTGCAGCTGACTGTGGTGGGATTAAGGCACTCTACTAGTTAAATGGCAGTCTGAAAACTCCCATAACAGGAGACGGTGTTCAATCCGAAGTGCAAGTCTGTGAGAGTCACCTTGTGTGGGAGGATGGGAAGATGGGAGGAAAAGAGTCAAAACCCACACCACTGGAGTGCATGTTAGAGAATTTTTAAAAGGCTTCTCAGGAGACTATGGAGTTAAATTGTCTCCTCAGAAGTGAATGACCTTGTGTGAGTTAGAATGGCCTTCCTTTGGGGTTGGATGGCTGGCCAAGGGAACAATAGGCAAACCACTGGTTGAGTGTTTAGGGTGGTGACCAGGGTCAGAGGACAGCCAGGGCACCCAGATCAGTTTCCATATATTAATGCATGGCAAAATGTACCCCAGACACACCCTAAGTGGTTGCAATGTTGCCTAGCTGCCTACCACAAAGCCTCAGGGCACAGACAGGGCCAAAGGAGGCCAAGAAACCTACAGACCCCCAAGCCCACAAGGGAAGAGAAGGACAAGAGGTACTAGAGAAACTGATTTTACAGGCTCCCCCTGAAGAAAGAGAAGTTCTACCCTCTTCTGCTCCAATATACCCATTCCCTAGCACACCTGAAGCAAGGTGAAGAGCAAGGAGTCAGACTCCATGCTGTGCCAGGCCTAGATGCAGGGGCTCAGGTAGAGTCAGACTTAGAGGGGAGCAAGAGCTCAATGTCTCCCTCTCATAATGAAAGAAAAGAGAAAGAAAAAGTGAGTGACGTGGCCAGTTGTCTCCAATCTGGCTGTACTTGAGCCAGAGATGTCTCTTCATGAAACACAGGCACCAGCCTATGCAGGGCAGGTTCATGGTGGGCAAAGAATCTTTATCCACCAGCCCTTTTCTACTACCGACCTTCTGAACTGGAAACAACACATCCCCTCCTTCACGGAGAAGCCCTAAGAGCTCACTGATCTAATACAGTCCATCTTTGCTACTCATAATCCTAATTGGCTGGATTGCCAGGAACTGCTGTTAATGCTGTTTAATACAGAAGAGCACAGGAGAATAAACTAAGCAGCTCCCCAATAGTTGGAAAATAATGCACCAGCAGGCACTAATGATGCCCTGCAATATGCAGTGCAACATTTCCCTCAATGTTGGGACCCCAATGAACAGGAGGGGCTGCAAAACCTACAAACATATAGGACTGCACTGTTAAATGGGATGAAGGCAGGTGGGAAGAACATAATAAATACAGGGAAAGTCTCAGAGGTCCACCAAAAACCTGATGAAAGCCCAAGTGAATTTTATGAGAGGCTCTGTGAAGCATACCAGCTTTATACCCCATTTGACCAAGAAGCCCCTGCCAACCAATGTATGGTTAATGTGGCTTTTGTCAGCCAGGCACAAGGAGACATTAGGTGGAAGCTATAGAAGTGAGAAGGATTTAAGGGCAAGAATGCTACCGACCTCATGCAGATGGGCTACCAAGGTGTTTCACAATTGAGAGGAAGAGGCTGAAAGAAAGGCAAGGTGAAAGGCAAAAGAAAAGGCGGACTTGTTAGTGGCTGCCTTAGTTGAGAGGGGAGCTGGTGTAACAAGAGGACATGGAAGAGGGCATGGGAGAGGTGTAGTCAGACTGGAGTCTGAAACTTGGCCTAGATTAGAGAGAGATCAATGTGCAGTAAGCAAGGAGAAAGGACATTGGGAAGCTGAGTGCCCAGAGAGAGTAGTATATGAAGATCGGGCATCCCCATACAGCCACCGACTTTACCCCTATGCAATACCTAGACCAGCAGGCCCCAAGTAATCAGGATACAAGCTTAATTGGCTTGGCTGGGGTAGACAGCTCTGAAGACTGAAACACATCAGGCTCGATTTCTCTAGGCCCCCAGGAGCCTATGGTCGAGATAAAGGTAGGGGGCCAAAAAACAGATTTTATGATAGACATGGGTGTTCAGCATTCGGTGGTGACAAAACTGGTGGGGCCACAGTCTAAAACTTATACCACCATTAGTGGGGCCACAGGAGTGTCAGAAAACACATCTTCCAGTCAAAAAGATGTGTTATTGGAGGGTGGGAGGTCCAGCATGAGTTCCTATATCTCCCCAGCTGCTCTGTCCCTTTGTTACGAAGGGATTTGCTTCAAAAGTTTCAAGCACAGATATCCTTTAAACCAGAGAGACACATGACTCTAGATTTTAACCACCCAACAGCTATGGTATTAGCCCTCCCAGTACCACAAGCTGAAGAATGGCAGCTATTTGCTAAGGATATGGAAGGATCCATCAAGCAGTCCTGGAGGCTAGTGGAAGAAGTCATATTGTCAGAGCTAATTAGCAAATTCCCACAAGTATGAGCTGAAGATAATCCACCTGGGCTAGCCATAAACCATGGTGGTAGCAGAACTAAAAACAGGAGCTATCCCAGTCCGGCTGCACTAGTACCCTATGCCCCAGAGGCTGTCCTAGGCATAGAAAAGCATCTAGAATGGCTCAGAAAACATGGCATTCTGGTGCCATGTCAGTCACCTTGGAATACTCCGCTCTTACTGGTGAAAAAGCCCCTACCTGACGATGGGATATCTACCTCCCATGATTATAGGCCAGCATAGGACTTACGAGCTGTAAAGCAGGCTACATTAACTATTCACCCAGTAGTGCCAAACCCATACACTCTATTCTCACTAATCCCCTCCAATTCAGCATGGTTCAGTTTTAGACCTAAAAGATGCCTTCTTTTGCCTTCATCTAGCACCAGTCAGTCAACCCTTATTTGCTTTTCAATGGGGAAGTTTCCAACTTACTTGGACCAGGCATCCCCAAGGACACTGAACTCCCCCATGATCTTCAGTGAGGCCCTAGCATCTGACCTTAATGCCTACACTCCACCAAATAAAGACTGTGTCCGACTGCAGTATGTGTATGATCTTCTTTTAGCAGCCCCCACTTTAGAAGATTGTCACAAAGGAACCCAAGACTTCCTCCACCTTCTACGGAAGACAGGGTATAAAGTATCCAGAAACAAAGCCCAGATTTGTTGTGGGAGCATCACATACTTGCCAAGAGCAGAGTATGCTAGGTAGTGCACACGAGGAAGCTGTGTAGGATTCTAACCGCAACCTGCCAACAAGTAAGAGAGATCCTAGGGGCAGCAGAGTTTTGCCTATGGCAAAACTCTATGAAGCCACCAAAGCAGTGGGGGAGGTGGGGGGAGGAACCCGTCATCTGGGGACCTGATCGGAAAAAAAAGCATTTAATGCAATCACAGCAGCTCTAGTTAGGGCCCCCGCCTTAGGACTACCACACATAACTAAGCCCTTCTTCCCATACATTCATGAGTGAAAGGGAATGGTTATCAGGATCTTAACTCAGATTCCAGGATCATGGCACCGCCCAATAGCCTACCCATCTAAGCAACTGGACTCAGTAGCTCAGGGATGGCCACCCTGCTTTAATGCCCTTGCCGCTGCAGCCATGCTCATACAGGAAGCTAAAAACAGACCTTAGAACAGCAGTTAACCGTATGGGTGCCACAGTCTGTCCTAATGCTAATGGATCAAAGAGGGCATCACTGGCTGTTAAATCCTAGAATGACCCAACACCAAAGACTCTTATGTGAAAACCTCCGTATAACTTTAGAAACTGTAAACACTCTTAACCTTGCTACCTTGCTCCCACTACAGCCAGGAGCTCCCCTTCATGACTATATAGAAACAGTAGATGGAGTTTTCTCCAGCAGGAAAAAATCTCACAAATCGTCTCCTCCAATAGGCTGATGTTGAATACTTTACAGATGGTAGCAGCTTTGTAACAGAAGGATTCAGGCAGGCTGGATATGCAGTTGTAACTTTAGTTTCAATCGTAGAGGCCCAAAGCCTGCAGGAACATCAGCCCAGAAAGGAGAACTAATACCCTTAGCAAGAGCACTGTTGCTAGCTAAGGGTAAAAAAGCCAACATAAGGCCGGGCGCGGTGGCTCAACCCTGTAATCCCAGCACTTTGGGAGGCCGAGGCGGGTGGATCACGAGGTCAAGAGATCGAGACCACCCTGGTCAACATGGTGAAACCCCATCTCTACTAAATATACAAAAAGTCCGCTGGGCATGGTGGCGCGTCCCTGTAATCCCAGCTACTCAGGAGGCTGAGGCAGGAGAATTGCCTGAACCCAGGAGGCTGAGGTTGTGGTGAGCCGAGATTGTGCCATTGCACTCCAGCCTGGGTAACAAGAGTGAAACTCCGTCTCAAAAAAAAAAAAAAAAAAAAAAAGCCAACATATGGGCCGGGTGCGGTGGCTCACACCTGTAATCCCAGCACTTTGGGAGGCCGAGGTGGGTGGATCATGAGGTCAAGAGATCGAGACCATCCTGGTCAACATGTTGAAACCACATCTCTACTAAAAATACAAAAAATTAGCTGGGCATGGTGGCGCGTGCCTGTAGTCCCAGCTACTCAGGAGGCTGAGGCAGGAGAATTGCCTGAACCCAGGAGGCAGAGGTTGTGGTGAGCCGAGATTGCATCATTGCACTCCAGCCTTGGTAACAACAGTGAAACTCCGTCTCAAAAAAAAAAAAAAAGCCAACATATACAACGACTCAACATATATATTTGTATTTGTTCCTATGTACACTGCAGTGTACATAGGAGCAAATACAAATACACAGGACTCTTAACTGCCCAAGGAATAAGTGTAAAATATCCAGAAGAGATCTTACAACTCTGTATGGTAGCCACAAGAGATAGCTGTTATACACTGCCAAGGCCATCAGAAAGGTGGAACCCTAGAGGCCAAAGGAAACAAGAAAGCAGATGCAGAAGCTAGGAGTGCAGCAATAAATACCCTACCTTCTAGTATAGCAGCTAGAAAGGCAGTCTGTGCCATGCCTCTCCTCCCAGCACTCTTGACTCTAGAGGAGCCAAATTATTCCCCAAATAAGAAGGCCTGGTTTGCTCAAGAAAATGGAACCTATACTAAAGAAGGACGGTGGAAATTCTCAGATGGAAGGTTAGCTATTCCTGAAGTAACAGCCCCCGAGTTTGTCAAACAATGCCACCAAGGAACTCATATGGGAAAGACAGCACTAGAAACGCTAGTAGGGTGCCACTTGTACGTGCCACGGCTCACTGTCATCTCCCGAGCTGTTTGAGAACAATGCTTAATCTGTCCTCAGAACAACCCACAACAAGGGCCAATCTGGCCCCCAGGAATTCAAGGAGCAGGGTCAGCACCTTGTGAAAATTTGCTTGTAGATTTTAGAGAGTTGCCCCAGGCAGGAGGCTATCGCTCTACCTTAGTGTTTGTCTGTACCTACTTGGGTTGGGTAGAGGCTCTCCCCATCAAAACAGAAAAGGCATGAGGAATAACTAGAATATTAAAAGATATTGTCCCCAGGTTTGTGCTACTTTCAACTATAGGATTAGACATGGCCCAGCGTTTATAGCTGAAATTGTCCAAGACATACAACGGCTATGGAAAATAAACTGGAAATTGCATACTGCCTATCACCCACAGAGCTCATGAAAAGCTGAGCGTATAAATCAAACGCTCAAACAACTATTAAAGAAATTCTGCCAGGAAACCCATCTGTGATGGGATCAGGTCTTGCCCATGGTCCTCCTCCGAATCAGGTAATACTCCCACCCACCAAACAGACTGGGTATTCACCCTATGAAATTCTGTTCGGCCAGCCACCACCAATCAATCATCATCCAAATTAAAGAAATGAGAGAGTTAGGAGAGTTATCCCTAAGAAAGCAAATGTAGGCCTTAGGCATAACTATGCAAGAAATATGAGGTTGGGTTCAAGAAAAATTACCTATCAGCCTAACAGACCCAGGACATCCCTTCAAACCTGGAGACTCAGTTTGGGTTAACAAGTAGAACCTGACTACTTTAGGGCCAACTTGGGATAAGCCCCATATTGTAATTTTGTCCACCCTGACTGCTGTTTCGGTTGCAGGCAGTGTGCCCTGGATTCGTCATAGCCGGTTAAAACCTGTAGCAGCCCAGAAGTGCACCAGTGAGCAAACAGGCTAATCCTGAGATGAGACCAAACTGTCAATGAAGGCGACAGCCCTGCTCTAGTCACAACACCAGAGGCTGACCAGTCCATGCATGGCTGAAGCTTAAGGAGTCATCAAAAGTAAATGTGGACTGAAATTTTAAGTCTAATTGCTAATTTAGTGTTCTTATCTATTCTATCACTATGCTGTCATCTCTGCTAACGCTTACATACAAGGAAAGATTTACTCTGCCCCTGCGTAGTGGTATAGAAATGTTAATTTTTATTCTACTAGTCTTAACTTCAATACCGTACAAAAGGAAGGGCACCAGTAAAATAATGTACTTACTGCCTGCAGACTACTTGAATTAGGAATACAGTAGTTAAGACCTTGCTGTATCAAACATATAATAAGCGTACAAGGACTCAGCTAGGGGCTTGTACTTACAATCCAACAATTTATTCAGTTGGTAACCCAGGCAATGAGCAATCTTATGTATGTTATGACCCCAAGTCTGTGCCTGGGATCTGGTTTGAAACACAAAGGGAGTCAAAAGAAGGTCCTCTCCTAAACAGAACTGAGGTCCCACCTTTCCATAAGGAAGCATTTCCTTTGCATTTCAATGCCTGCCAAGCAGCATACTCAGGCATAGCCTACTCTGCTACCTGTGGTAACCCAACCTGGGAAAGATATCATAGCAAACTTCGTATGTGTGTGGGCCAAAAGTTGCTCCACTTTGCTCCCCTGGGACCCCAGGAAGGGACTAGAGGTACTGCACAACACAGTCCCCTGCTGGGTACCCTAAATGGCAGCATCAGGAACCAGTTGTGCTTACCAAAATGCCAAATTGTGAAACGAAAACCTGCAATCCTATAAAGCTTACTATCCTAAAGCCAGATTTACCCACATGGACTACAGGTCACCCCATAATAGTGTTTATAGAAACATTCCCAACCACCAATTTGTATATTATCAAAAAGGGAACTCGGGCCCATCCCCCTCAACCTCAGTTCCGAGTTTTCAAGTCATTTTATGAAAACTATAAAAGAACTAACCAGGTTTTTGAACCCCCTCCAGTAGCCAGTAATCTGTTTGTTCAGCTGGTTAAAAGTATAGCTAATAATCTAGCTCTTTCTTCTTGCTATGTCTGTGGAGGCATTATCATGGGAAATCATGGCCATGGGAAGCAAAAGAGTTAATGTCTCAATAAAACTTTACCTTGACCCTCACCCCTCCCAAGCCTACATTTAAGCGCTCAAGTATTTGGCTCCTAAAAACTTCCATTGTCGGGAAGTACTTTATTGCCCACTGGGGAAACACTTTCATTAATCCAGTAGGAGAACTGACTTGTCTAGAGCAGAAATACTACAACCAAACAGTAGGGAAAACTTTGTGGCGGGGTAGGAATAAACAAGGTAAAGTTAACTCCAGATTGCCACGCTACAACTCATTCTCTCGCTTCCCAGCTTTAAACCACTCCTGTCATCAGTTTAAGGCACCCAATGGTTGGCAGGCACCCTCTGGCCTTTATTGGATTTGCAGACAGCCAGCCTATTAGCAGTTACCAGCCAATTGGACAGGGGCCTGCGTACTAGGGACAATCAGACCATCCTTCTTTTTGCTCCCCTAGTAGCTGGGAAAACCTCTAGGTTACTCTGCTTATAATGAAGTGGGAAACAGAAGTAAAAGAAGTGTGGATATCAGAGGAGGTATAAAAATAGGAGACTGGAAAGACACCGATTGGCCCTCTGAAAGAATTATTCAGTATTATGCGCCAGCTACCTGAGCACAAGATGGGTCATGGGATACCGTACTCCTATCTATATGCTCAATCACATTATAAGGTTACAAGCAGTACTTGAAATCATTACCAATGAAACGGCACAAGCTTTAAACCTGTTGGCTGTACAATCCACAAAAATGAGGAATGCCATTTACCAAAACAGACCAGCTTTAAATTATCTCTTAGCCCAAGAGGAAGGGGTATGTGAAAAATTTAACCTATCAAACTGCTGCCTAGAAATTAATAATAATGGACAAGCAGTCATGGAAATTACAGCCAGGATGCAAAAACTAGCTCACGTTCCAGTTCAGACATGGAAAGGGGGACCACCAGATTCCCTCTTTGGAGGATGATTCTCATGGTTTGAAGGTTTTAAAACCCTGATAGTGGGAGTAGTCATATTAGGAGGATGCCTAATACTTCCTTACCCATCCTAATTGGAAGTATTTGGTAAACTATAGAAGCAACAGTAGCCAAGTAAACCACCAGTCAATTAATGGCATTAACTAAGTACCAGCCTGTATCTCAAGAAAAAATGGAATTACCTCAAAATGACATGTATATTAGTGATGCTTTCTATGGGCTTATGTAAGGCATGTTCATCTAGCTAAACCCAACTGTTAGCAAATGTCTGGATGGAACAAGCTCAAACAAAGCAAGTATTAAGAGCCCCCAAATCCTTACTAATAATCTTTTCCAAGCAGGCAACTCAACAAGGAAGCAACTTAAAGGTGAGTAATAGCTCTGTTCCTGGACCCACAATGCTCTGCGGATCAGCCCCCAGGAGCCTTCCGACCTTCCAACTGTTGCCCTGTTTGGCCTCATGCAGATGACTGGTTAGCCAAAGAGGGGTAAGATTCCTCAGGGGAGGGACAACCTAAGACAGGCACAGTCCTGAAGGTGCCATCAGGAGCTAAGGTAGAGTTAATTTTGTGCCTTTCATGGCAGGAGAGGAGCTCCCAACCTAAAAGAATCTAAATCAATGCTGTAAGTTCACCATGAGCTGACACACTAGCCTGCTGTCAATCATCCAGTAAAAGTATAAAGGCACTCTTAAATGCTTTCCTTAAAGGGCTCTACAACTCTCTTGATTAACTCTTCCACCCTGACATTCAGCTACAAGGTCACAGATATACTTAAATAAATCTAGTAAATAAGCTCATTAAAACACCAATCAGATTAAATCAAAAAAGAAAAGAAGAAGGGAATAAGGAAAGAAAAAACAAACCAAAAAATGGCATACCTCTAAAGGTAATAGTAACTTATATGCTTAAATTAGTGGTGCTGCTTTCTATTGAAATGTTATTCATTAAAAGGCAACAAAGGGTGAAAAATGAAGAAGGAAATTAAATCATAGCAATGATAGTAATAACAAAACCTTATAATTTGTAGTTGATATATAATAAATTTTGTGGTGTGTACTGGAATACCTCTGGCTCTGTCTAAGGCAGAATATTAAACTGCCTTCCTGCAAACCATTTAACCCTTATCTATCCTCCTCACGTTCTTAGCCAAGTTCCCAGGCATCTAGACATTCCTGTTTTTCTTGCTGACCAGCTGCAAGGTCACAGAGCAGATAGAAACTGAGGAATGTGTTTCTCAAAATGTTACTTTTCAAATGTAAAGTACATGTCACAAGTGATTAACTGTTCTTTGTTCTGGCTTCTGTACCTGCTGCTTCATCTTAGGTGCATAAAAAATAACCCATTTTCTTTGTCCTTTACTCAGAATTAGGAAGCGATTCTGCTAAGCCCATGATCACGTTAAATAAAATCCTCTGCAACCCCATCGGTCTC